AAAGAGTGCCTACAGTCCTTTGATCCACTCCTCCAGCTTCCCCCTGTGCTGGCATCTTGTATAACTAGGACAGTGTTGAAACCAAGAAATTGACATTGCTGTTACACTGTCTGCTAGACTACAGACCTTATTCAGTTCCATGCACTCATTTGTGTGTGTGTTTCTGTGCAATCGATGCCACATAAAGATTTATATACCCACCATCACTAGAATCCAGTACTGTCTCATCACCACAGATTACCTTTTAACTTCTCACATGAATGTGAGCATGTTCATGTTTTTCTCCCTGTCTATCCATACACATGTGTACATACCTGTCTGTCTTGATCATTTACTTTAATCTTAGAATAATTACTTATAGGACTCAAAGACATTTTGCAGAAAAAACTTCAAAACATTATTTTCTGAAAAGAACCCTCAGCATTTATCCTGTAATAGTCACTTGAAATATAAATTGCTACAAAGAATTGTTTAAAGGATGTCTCTAACAATAGCATTTATGACCTTGACAAATGTCAGTGTGACATCCCTTTGGTTCTAGATGGTCATGTAAAACTCTTTGTGGGAGAAATTTAGTAAAAGACAAAATGGCCTTTCTGTGCAGATAGCACACCCACAAACATGGTGAATGTTCCTAAAACCCAGTGGACTTTCTGTAAGAAGTGTGGCAAGCACCAACATCACAAAGTTAAACAGTACAAAAAGGGCAAGGAGTCTCTGTGCTCAGGGAAAGGGCCTTATGACAGGAAGCAGAGTGGCTGTGGTAGGCAGACTAAGCCTATTCCCGGGAAAAGGCAAAAATTACAAGGAAGATTGTGCTGAGGCTTGAATGTGTTGAGCCCATATGCAGATTTAAGATGATGCTGGCTATTAAGAGATGCAAGCATTTTGAACTGGGAGGAGATAAGAGAAAGGGTTATGTGACCCACTTCTAAGCTTCATCTTTTGTTTTTTATGAAGATTATAAAATCTTGAGGTGAATGTTCACCTCATTTGATTACAGTTGATCTTTTTGTGAAGGAATAAAGTGATCAATAAAATTCCCCTTTTGGGGAAATTTGATTCACAGCAAAAATAAATTAAAATAAAGTAAATTAAAATAAAATAAAATAAGACAAGGTAAAATACAGAAAGGCAAGTGTTCATTGAAGTCCTTTCTCATGTATATGTGACATACACTTACACCAATCTGGTCATTGTAATGACCCAGATAGATAGCTTCAAGCTAGTACCAAGTTATAGCAAACTCATTATTTAATCAATCTTTTTTTTTTAAAAAAAATCATTTATTTAATTTTGTTTATTATTATTAATTTGTCCAAGAAAGACAGAGAATGAGGGAGAGTGAGAAATTAATTTGCCAGGTCTAGGACTCAAACCACAGTCTGCCATGTGGGAGTCCAGCGTCTTAGATACAACACTACCTGCTGGCCTCCTATCAGTCTTAATTCTAAAACTATAGAGTATTAAAAACTTTTTAACAGAAGTATACAATGATAGTTTTTAAAAATAGCCTTATTGCAATACAATTTACATATCATATAATTCATCCATGTAAATTATACAAGTCAATGATTTTCAGTACATTCATAGAGCTGTATACCTGTCACCACAATAAGTATTAAACATTTTCATCA